AATTTTTGGTATAGTAGTTGTGACTTATTCACACTATATACATTTGGCTTCCGCAACAGATACTGCATAATGAAATCTTTGGATATAGGGAATTCTACTCCATCTAGGTGTTTATGCTTCAGCTATATAATGATTTTTTTCTGTTATTTTCTTAATGTCCAGGAAAACATTCCTTGAGTACATAAATCATGTCATAAAACTAGGGGAAACTCTTTTTGACTTACTATCAGAAGCTCTTGGACTAAAAACCGACTATTTGGAAACTTTGGAATGTGCCAATGGACAAGCGTTAGCATGTCATTACTACCCAGCATGCCCACAACCAGAGCTAACTCTTGGCGCCGATAAGCATACAGATCCTGCTTTCCTCACCATTCTGCTTCAAGATCAAAGTGGTGGCTTTCAAGTCATGCATAATAACCAATGGGTTGATGTTGAACCGATTGAACGAGGTTTGGTGGTTAATATTGGTGACCTTCTTCAGGTTCGCAACAAAACACATTTTTTGTCTCATTTATTTATGGATTATTACTTATCTTAATCTGATTTTGTAACAGATCCTATCAAATGACAAGTTTGTAAGTGTGAATCATAGAGTTGTAGCGAATAAGGCAGGACCAAGAATGTCAGTGGCATGCTTCTTCACTGGTGCTTTTGAACCTCCAAAGATGTATGGCCCAGTCAAAGAGCTCATATCAGAAGAAAATCCCCCTCTTTATAAAGAATTTACAGTAGGAGATTACATCACTAAGTTTTTCTCAAGACCACTCGATACGTCTGGTCTTGACCTATTCAGAGTGACATGACTAAAGGGCAACCCAGTGCACTAAGCTCCCGCTATGCGTGGGGTCGGGGAAGGGCCTGACCACAAGGTTCTATTGTACGTAGCCTTACCCTGAATTTCTGCAAGAGGCTATTTCCACGGCTCGAACCCGTAACTTCCTGGTCGCATGACAATAACTTTACCAGTTGCTACAAGGCTCCCTTCACCGACATGACTATACATCTCTATAGTATACAGAACAATGTCAAAATTTGTGATTTGCTGCCCATTAGTCTTTTACCAACAATGAGTAATAAGAGTGTTTTTGCATTGTCCTTTGCACTACTAAATAAACTTGTAGCCATGTTTTGCTTCATTTCTCTGTTATGAAGTTGTCAATATACAATCCATGTTGAGTGTTCTGTATTACCAGCTACTGTCAATTATTCAATGCATGAAAACATTATTCAACGTGAAGTTTAACTGCATTGGTCGCGAGAGATTGGAGAAAAAATAAGAGTGAACGAGAAAGACAGCATTTTGTGTACCATGTGAACAGATTGCTGTGTGTTTGTATCTATATCTATATCTGTATTTATATCTGAATTTATATCTATATATTGATCCACTCATAGATTTTCATCTAAATTAGTCAGAAATATGGAGGTAAAAAATTAATTAAAAAACTATAATAGAAAAAAATAAAAAATATAGAAAGACATAAATTGAGATAACCTATGACTATTTATACTTTGGAGTAAGTTAAAATATGAAATAAAATTAAAATTTACTTAAAGTATTAAAGATTTATTGACTTCAAAAATTAAAAAATTCAGGCGGTAAAATAAGATCTTACATAAGTATACAATTATTTATAAGATAAGAAAAAAATTAAATATATTATATTAAAAGGAGAGTAGTGAGGCATGATACTAAGACAAGTGGCGTATTGAAAAAATGCCACTTAGCATTTTTAAGACATAATCTAAATAGATTTTTTTAATTTAATAAGGATTAAAACAACTTAGATTTTGTCACGACCCTAAACCCGAACTCGGTCGTGATGGCGCCTCTCGTGAAGACAAGGCCGGACAATTATACCCAATTCACTTTTTAAACAGTTAAATATCATAAAAGCAGTCTAAAATATGATATAGCAATACTAAGTAGCGGATCATGTCAATAAGGTGCGGAAGTACAACCCAACGCAGTCCTAACCGGGATGTCACAAGTCACGAGCATCTCTAAACCATAATACTAGTCTGCTAAAGTCATAAACTACTACAAGTGTTTGAAAGGAAACAGAAATGATAGAGAAGTAGAGACACAGGGCTACGGACGTCAACAACTACCTCGTAGTCTCCGAAAAATCGCCTGGAACTGGAGGAATCAGCACTCAGGAGCGATACCAATTACGCTTGAATCTGCACATAGGGTGCAGGGAGTAAAGTGAGTACTTCAACTCAGTGAGTAACAAATATAAATAATGACTGAAGGTAAGAAATCACATAATGTACAAATCATGCTATAATGAAGCAGTAAAATCACTTAAAACAGTAAATCAGTGAAAAGTCAAGTGAAAATCCCTTTCTCAACAAGTAAAATAAGTAATTGACAGGTAAATATGAAAGATAAACATATAAAGGTTCGCCCCTCGGGCACAATGTCAACAACTCCGCCCCTCGGGCAATATCTCAAAACAATAACAGCCCTTCGGGCAATCACATAAAACAGTACCAGCCCCTCGGGCAAATCACATAGAACAATACCAGCCCCTCGGGATATCACATAGAACAATATCAGCCCCACAGGCTATATCTCACATCACAATGGGTACCCGCGCTCACTGGGGGTGTACAGATTCCGGGAGGGGCCCCTTACGGCCCAAGCACAATATCAAGCCATCTCGTGGCATCAAATCTAAGCCCTCGGCCTTATGTCAGTCAAGCCACCTCGTGGCGTATATATCTCAAGTTCTCAGCCTCATAAACAATATCAACAAGCTACCTCGTGGCGTACATATCTCAGGCCCTCGGGCTTAATCAGTATCATTGTTTCCTCACAACTAGGCACTCGGCCTTACTCAGTCAAAAATACTCATAAGCTCCTCGGGCAATAGTAAAACAGTATTTTTCAGCCCAAAACATCATTTAAAATATCATTTAAGTCTCAAAATTGAGTAAAATTGGCTGAGTAGTAAAACAATGGAAAATAACGGGACTGAGTTCAAGTAATAAGTCAAACAGTGAGGAAATGGTAATAAAATCCCCAAATGGTTCAAATAGTTGGCACGAAGCCCAAATATGGGAATCAGCCCAAAGCATGATGAAAGCAAACAAGTTTCAGTCAAATACGCGGTAAAATCATCAATCGGGACGGACCAAGTCACAATCCCCAATAGTGCACGACCCCACGCTCGTCAACAAATGTGTGCCTCACCTCAATATAGCACTACGATGTGCAATCCGGGGTTTCAAACCCTCAGAGCATCATTTACAATCATTACTCACCTCGAACCGACTAATTCTCTAGCTTGTGACGCCTTTGCCCCTCGAATTAGCTTCCACGCGCGTCGAATCTATCCAAAATCAGAATGAATACGTCACAATATGCTAAGGGAACAAAGCCTAAGAGAGAACAATCAACAAAGGGCACGATTCTCGAAATTACCAAAACCTAAGCCCCGGGCCCACATCTTGGAATCAGGTAAAATTTACATTTTCAAAATCTTCATACCCTCACGAGTCTAACCATACCAAAATTATCCAATTCCGGTACCATTTGGTCCTTCAAATCATCATTTTATATTTTTGGAAGATCCACAACTTTTCTTCCCAAATCACGAATTAAATGATGAATTCAATGATAGATTCATGTATTCTAGCCAAATCTGAGTTAGAATCACTTACCCCGATGAATTTCTTAAAAAACCTTCTAAAAATCGCCAAAATCTGAGCTCTCTAGGTCAAAATATTAAATAAAACCCAAAACCTCATATTTATAGAGTACCCCACAGATTTTCACCTCCGCGGACCGTACAAAATCGACCGCGGTCCGCACAAAACCAGTGCGGTCCGCACAAAAACGACCGCGGCCGCACATGCTTTCCTCTACAGTGATAGGCTTTAGTATTTTGTCCATAACTTTCACTACATATGTCCAAATAACAATATCTTTATCTTTTTGGAAACTAGATACGAAGGGCTACAACTTTCGTTTTTGAATCATCTCATAATTCCTTGTAGATTAAAAGATATGAGCTTCCGAAGTAGGACTAGTGAAAGTCTCCCACCGCGGCCGCACTGCATTTTGTGCGGTCCGCACAATACCTACCGCGGCCGCACTTCATTTTGTGCGGTCCGCACAGCACATACCGCGGCCGCACTTCTTTTTGTGCGGACCGCGCGGGTGGGCTTCGAGGCCTGCAACCCTTCTGGACCTGCTATAGTTATGATTTTCGGCTTAAAACATCCCGGAACTTCAAACCAATTGTACCAACATATCCCATGACATTGTTCAAACTTGTTCCAAACTTCGGAACGCTCACAACAACATCAAATCACCAATTTAACATAGGATTCAAGCCTAAGAACTCCAAGAACTCTTAAATTATGCTTTCGATCAAAAAGCCTATCAAATCTCGTGCGAATGACCTGAAATTTTGCAAACACTTCCCAAATGACACAACGAAGCTACTGCAACTCTCGGAATTCCATTCCGACCCCTATATCAAAGTCTCGCCTATCAACCGGAAAACGCC